AGTCGGTACTACTTCTACATCCAATTCTGGTGCCACTGGATCCAAAGTCGGACCCAATCCTAAAGTCGCTGCGTCCATGACTGGTGCCATTTCTGAAGTCACTTCTGCATCAACTTCTAGTGCCACTGAATCCACGCCCAGATCCATTGTCGGTGCCAAATTCGCATCCATGACCGGTCCCATTACAGGATCGCTGCTCCGCTCAATTATCTCCGGTTCTACGTCTCCATCCAATTCCGCCTCCACTTCCGGTGCCACTTTCGGATCCATGCCCAGATCCATGGCTGATGCAACTGCATCCACGACCAGTGCCACCTCCAGAACCACTTCTGAATCCATGGATCCTGGACCGGCTCCTCCGCCTCCTCCACGAACACTCAAAAGAACCAGAGCTCAAAGTGTGCACACACCAAAACAGGCGGATCCAAATTTGAAGGTTGGTTAGGGAATCTTCTGGAGAGTGGGCGGGGCTTCCCATAGGCTCCGCCCACTTTCCAATGGAACCCCATTTTGCAGTGCTCCGAATGCGCTCATCAAAGCGTTACTCTCTCGGAATTGGCTCTCCACCGTCAAACTATTCACCGGAAACCGCCGCACTCGTGCAATTTCTGCCCACGCGTCTTTCGGACTCAACGCGCTCTTTACGATCATCATATGACTGTAAGCGAGGGGGTCGAGCCAAAAAAGGGGCGTGGCCTATTTCTTAATGTTTTTTGTTGCAGGAAATTGGACGCTGGAAATGCTCGAAATGCAACAAAGTGGTCAATCGAAAGTATCTTCTCCACTTCCACGAACGCTATTGTGGAAAGAAGGCGGAGCCTAAATAATTATTGTTTTTCTATTGAGCACGTTCTTATTGTTTTCTTTGTTTTCTTCTATTCTGCATTTTGTTAATCTTGTGTTCTCAAAATAAAAATATTGAGATCCATTGAAAAAAGCCTCTTCGATTCTTCTACAAGACAGTCCAAAAATCAAATCGAAATCATCAATTTGAGCCGAGTTATAGTCAAAATACTGAAAATTTTTATTCTGAGCAATTCCACAAAAATGGGTGTAACTCGGCTCAAAATCAATATTCTTGAGTTCTGAAAACTGGAAAATGATCGGTAAACTACTTGGAGCAGAACTACTCAAATTCGCTAGGTGGCCTAGAAAACCATATTTTGAGAAAGCTAGGCCACCAAATCATTTCCACGCTTAGCTTTGAATTTTTAGTGACTGAGTGCGCTTTCAAATCTCCTACAAGTTAGTCCAAAAATCAAGCCGGAGTCATCAATTTGAGCTGAGTTAGAGTCGAAATACTGAAAATTTTTATTCTGAGCAATGCCAGAAAAACGGGTGTAACTCGGCTCAAACTCAATATTTTTGAGTTCTGAAAAGTGGGAAGTGATCAGGAAATCATTTAAAACATAATCCACCCAACTTCAGCTTAGTGGCCTAGAAAACCAAATTTTAAGAAAGTTAGGCCATCAAATCATTTTCACACTTATTTTTGAATTTGACTGGATGTGTCTTCAAATTTCCTACTAGGTAGTCCAAAAACCAAGAAGAAATCATCATTTTGAGCCGAGTTAAAGTCAAAATACTGAAAATTTTTATTCTGAGCAATACCACAAAAATGGGTGTAACTCGGCTTAAAATCAATATTTTTGAATTCTGAAAAGTGGGTGATGATTAGAAAAAGATTTGAATCAGAATCCATCCTGATTCGGTATGATGGCCTAGAAACCCAAAATTTGAAAAAGTAAGGCCATCATTTAATTTTTTTTGTTTTCTTCATTTCTGCATTTTGTCCAACTTCTATGAAAAAGTTTGAACTTTTGGTGTTCTTCCCGCGGTGTCAAAAAATTGTTTTTCTTATTACTATTATCACTTTTTTTTCTGTAGAAACAGGTTCCTTGTAGTGTAGCGTTCCACCTCCCACAACCCACCTCTCTTTAAAAATGGGGAGAAGAAAAACAATCAAAACAATATAACCACAAAAAATGATCAGAATTTATTTTATTTTACTATTATTTTTTATCCGAAACTCCTTTGGTCAGTTGGATTGCTCCAAGGCCCCCACGGCGGCCATCAAAATCATTTGCTCACAGATTCAGAGATGGGATCAGAAGGCCAGGGTGAGTGGACTAGTTTTTGGAGGTTCTGTGGTTCTAGGCCACCAAATTTAGCAGGTTAGGCTAATGGACTAGTTTCCCAGGATTTGGAATTTTCGGTCACCTATGAAGACGTTCTAGGGACTAGTTTTGGGTTTCTAGGCCACCAAATTCCGAAATCTAGGCCAAGGGACTAGATTTCCAGGTTTTGGAATTCTAGGCCACATTTGAAGGTGGCCTAGTTCTGGTTTCTAGGCCACCAGCTTTCGAAAGTTACGGTAAAGGACTAGATTCTCAGGATTTGGATTTCTAGGCCATGGAATTTAAAAGCTAGGCCACCACTCCTCTCCTTTCCAAAGTTTAGGTCAAAACGAAGGCCACCTAGTCTGAAAATCAGTGAACCGTCGTAAAATATGATGCCGAGTCCGCAAACACAGAAATTATAGACCACGCCATCCCTATCTGGCGATGTAAAAACACCGGGAATCGCCGGAAAAGCGATGGCCGCCGAATTCTCGCCGATCGCCAGTAACGTGTTCCAGTGCATGGATATCGCGTGTCTCTGCGTCTTTTTCAGAGGTATTTGAATTCCCGTGCGATCAGGCCCTGAAGTCTGCAAACACCGCCACGTCAAAATGCACCATATTTCAGGAACCGGTGGAAGCAACTGCGTGGTTCAGGGGCGCCCCCTGGGCAAAGTGGTCAGGAAAGAGTACCGTATGCTCACCGAAGACGAGAGAAATCGGCTCCATCAAGCCTTCCGGACGCTTAAACAGAATGGGGAATACGATCGGTTATCCAGGGTGCATGCACAGTATGCGGAGAGTGGAGCTGCCCATTCTGGTCCCGCATTTCTTCCATGGCATCGGGAGTTTGTGAAGAGAATGGAGTTTTTGATTAGACAGGTTGGGAAAAAATGCAAAAAATGATTTGATCACGGTGGGGGTCGAACCCGTGGCCTCTAGGACACGTGTCAAGCAAAAAAAAAAAAAGAAAAAAACATTTTACCCCACCGGGAGTCGAACCCCCGACCTCCAGATTCAAAAGCAGCAGCGCTAACCACTAGGGCACGCGGGGATCAAAGAAAAAAAAAGAAAAAAACATTTTACCCCCACCGGGAGTCGAACCCCGGACCTCAGATTCAAAAGCAACAGCGCTAACCACTAGGCCGCGCGTCCAACAACAACGAAGAGGGGAGAGGCCGTAGATATTCCCCCACCTTTCTCTATGCGCCGTTCCAGGTCGACCCATCGCTTCACCTTCCCTACTGGGACTCCACTCTGGATCAGAATCTTCCGGATTCCAAGGATTCTATTCTGTGAGTGTGCTCCTTGAAAAGTACAGTAACCTTAGTATCCGTTACAGGTGGACAAACGAGTTCATGGGTGATCCAACGGGATCAGTTAACAACGGACCATTCCGGAGTTGGAGGACGATAGAGGTGGGTATGGGGGAGAGGAGGGGCGTGGCCTAGATTCGGATTCTAGGCCGCCACCGAACTGGAAATCTAGGTGACCGTATCGGGAATCTAGGCTATCAAATTGGGAACCTAGGCCACCCAATTAGGAAAACTAGGCCACCAATGGCCTAAAACCCCAAAACTTGGAATCCTAGGCCACCTAAGGCCTAGAACCCCAATCTCGAAATCCTAGGCCACCCAATTAGGAATCTAGGCCAACCAAGGTTAGAGCCCCAAACTCGGAATCTAGGCCACCGAATTGAAAATCTAGGCGACCTAATGACTAAAACCCCAAACTAGGGAACCTAGGCCACCCAATTAGGAATCTAGGTCAACCATGGCCTAGAACACCGAATCCGGAATCCTAGGCCACCTAAGGCCTAGAACACTAAACTCGGAATCCTAGGCCACCTAAGGCCTAGAACCCCAAATTAAGAATCCTAGGCCATCAAACTCGGAATCCTAGGCCACCAAACGGGATTTTAGGATACCAATAGGCTAGAACCCCAAATCCGAAATCCTAGGTCACCAAAACTCTTCCAGAACAAGGCGACCATCACCCGTGCGGTTGGGGCCCAGGGCAAAGGATATTCGGAGGACGAGATCAACACAATGATGAGCCAATCTGACATCGCGCAGGTTCTCGCGTTCTCGGCCCCACAAAGGGTAAGTACCTGAGAGGGTGCCCTTCAATCAAAAAAAAATTCCAGGGGTGCCCTTATCAACCGAACTTCAATGTTCCGGAATATACGCATGGAAATCCTCATATCTATGTCGGTGGAGATATGCTGGAGACGTCCACGGCGGCGAATGATCCGATCTTCTGGATGCATCACTCGTTTGTGGATCTGTTGTGGGAGCAGTATCGGCAGACAAAACAGGTGGGTTTCTAGGCCAACTTTGGAGGTGGCGGGAGGACTAGTTTTGAATTTCTAGGTCATGGACTAGTTTTCCAGGATTTGGAATTTTAGGCCACCATTTTTTATCCTTTGGACTAGTTTTTGAGTTTTTAGGCGATCACATCTGAAAAGTGAGACGAAGGGACTCGTTTTCCAGGATTTGGATTTCTAGGCCATGGAATTAGAAAGCTAGGCCACGACTTCTCTCATTTCCAAAATTCAGGTCAAATCTAGGCCACTACCGAAGATGGCTTGGAGACATGTTTTGGGTTTCTAGGCCACCTGAGAGCTAGGTCGATGGACTAGGTTTCCAAGATTTGGAGTTCTAGGCCACTATCGGAGGGACTAGTTTTTGAGTTTTAGACCACCAAATCGGAAAACTTAGGCCAAGGGACTTCATCGTGATGTAGAATTCTAGGCCACTATCGAAGATGCTTGGGGACTAGTTTTTGAGTTTTCAGGCCATCAAATCTGAAAAGTTAGGCTGAGGAACTAGTTTCCCAGGATTTGGAGTTCTAGGCCACCTTCAAAGCTTGGGGACTAGTTTTGGGTTTCTAGGCCACCAAAATTTTTGAGAGTTAGGCTAAGGGACTAGTTTTCCAGGATTTGGAGTTCTAGGCCACTGATGACTTGGGGACTAGTTTTGGGTTTCTAGGCCACCTTGTTTTTTGGCACCTTGGTACTCTATGCCGTCGATTCATATGGCCTAGAATCCGAAGTCTGTAAATTCCTGGCCCCTTTTTTGGATTCTAGGCCAGCAAGCAATTAGGCCACTAACTTTCGTTGAAAGATTCTCTCTCCTAGCTGGCCTAGTTTTCGATGAGTTTCCTGGCCACCGATTTTCAGACCCGCGCCACCCGTGAGACCGCCTACCCAGCCGACAACCGTCAATGCTCTAGTGAGCACCACTTCCGAGCCGCCTTCATGCGGCCATTCACCCCAATGAGAAACGCGGATGGACTGAGCAATATGTACACGGATAACCTGTACTCGTTCGCGCCGAGACCCAACTGTAACGCCGGACCCACTTGTGGATCGCCGTGAGTGCTCCTTGTCGGTGCACCATGTGGAGACGTGCCATGCGCCTTTAAGGATACTCTTCAAGAGGGTTACCTTAAAGGCGCATCTTGCCATGAGAAAACCCATATTTTTCTAGGTACCTATTCTGCGACAAGTCCCACGGAGCCCCAAAATGTGCTGCTCGACTGAAACCTGGTGGCAACTGCGCCAGCTTTACCAACGGGGAGCCGGCCTGCTATCAGGGAACGTGTCAAGGAGGAAAATGTGTGGCTGGGTCCCAGACAGTGACTCCACCGCCGACCATTCAGCCGACTAAGCCGGTGGTCACCGTGGAAGTAGGTTTTACAGTAATACTACAGTATCTCTGTCGGTTTTGCTCCGATTTTTATGACAATGGCACCATAAGAATCAGCGCATTAAGACGGTTTGAATGAGTATCATCATGACTAGGTTTTGAAAATTTTCAATTTTCGGGTCTCAACACGAGAATATAAAAACTATCGTAAGCCTGTCGGATTTGCTTTGGTATTCATAGAAATATTACCATTAGAACCAGTGCGTCAGAACGGTTCGAATGAGTATAATCATGACTAGGTTTTGAAAAAATTTCCATTTTCGGGTCTCACCACGAAAATCTAAGAACTACCGTATCTCTGTCGGTTTTGCTCCAATTTTTATGAAAATTATACCACAAGGATCAGCGCATCAAGACGGTTCGATTGAGTATAATCATGACTGATTTTCTGAAAACCTTCAAATTTTGAAGTTTTGGGTCCCACCACGAAAATCTGAAAATTCAAAAAAATGTTTAAACCTAGTCATGATTATACTCTTTCTAACCGTCTTGACGCGCTGATTCTATTGGCACACATTTTATAGCGATAAAAGCAAAACTGGTCGAGATACGGTAGCTTCTACCACAATAATTTTTCCAGACCTCCTGTTTCAACGAAAACGAGTGCTGCGGTCCATGGGCAGCCAAAGGAGAGTGCCAAAAGAACCCAGTGTATATGAATGTGTGGTGTAAAGCTTCCTGCAGACAGTGCACTCCAAACTACAATATTAATGATGGTAACACCTTTTCCCCCTAACAGAAGGGCACCCCGTAAATTACAGAATGCTCCGATCGTCACACAAACTGTGCAATGTGGTCCCGGTCCGGCGAGTGCAACAAAAATCCGTTGTGGATGTCGGAAAACTGTCGGAAGTCATGCAATAAGTGTGGGCGGTCCAGGGCAGCGACCTGTGGGGGCGGAGCTGATAATATAGGTAAATCTGGGGGTACACCACTAGGCCACGCTTGCAGCACGGCAGGGGCGGAGCTAGCAGGATTCCAGACCCAATTTTCAAATTCCAGCCGTCACCAATCCACCAGCCACAAACACGAATAACCAACAGAACACGCCGTGCGACTCACCAATGTGCTACAATGAAGATCAGTGCTGCCCGATTTGGGCCCAACGGGGGCAGTGTCGGGTACGGTTGGGGGTACTGTAGCTAAGATGTATTGTAGCTAAGGTGTACTGTAGCTAAGGGGTACTGTAGCCAAGGGGGATTGGCGCTGTACCCCGTTTTGGGTTTTTTTTGGACTGTAGGGGATACTGTAGCGAAGCAAATTTGGTGCCTAGGTTACTGTAGCAACGACCTCAGGATACGGGTCAGGGCTGTGCAAAAAAAAATTCCGAAAAAATCGAAAACAATTTTTTCGAATTTTTCAGGGTGAAAAAAATCGAAAAACCTTTTTTTTCGGGATTTTTCAAATTTTTTTCGGGATTTTTCAAATTTTTTCCAAATTTTTTTCGGGTTTTTTCAAATTTTTTTTCGGGTTTTTTCAAATTTTTTCCAAATTTTTTTCGGGTTTTTTCAAATTTTTTTCGGGTTTTTTCAAATTTTTTTCTGGTTTTTTTCAAATTTTTTCGGGCTTTTTTCAAATTTTTTTCGGGTTTTTTTCAAATTTTTTTCGGGATTTTTCAAAAATAAACCGAAAAAAATTTTCCGGACAAAAATTTTTTTGCACAGCCCTAATTCAGGTTACTGTACCTATGGGTTACTGTATTATCACTTAACCTAGATCCGTTTCCAGTCCAATCCGGCCTACATGATGTGCCAGTGCAAGGTCAGCTGTGGTGCGTGTCAACCCAATTATGTCTATGGGCGTGAGTTTTTTTTCTAGCAGGGGCACCCCAAAAAATTCCAAATTTAGCATGTGCTGACTACCACTCGGACTGTGCCGCCTGGGCCCGTCGTGGCGAGTGCGCCAAGAACAAATGGATGCCGGAGAACTGCCGACGGTCCTGTAACACTTGTGTGACGTTGTAAGTCTATTTTCAGGTGCTATGACAGTGAGCAAGTGTTATTTTCTCAAGTGCTATGGATCAAGTGCTATTTCGGTTCTCTCACGAAATAGAACTCATCGGAATAGAACTGACCCATATCTCAAAAGTGGGTGGAGCTAGAAAAAAGTTGTCAACTGCAAACTTGCTCAAAATTAAATTTGGAGCAAGTTTGCAGTTGACAACTTTTTTCTAGCTCTGCTCATTTTTGAGATATGGAACAGTTCTATTTCAAAAGTGCGCCGCTATTTCGCCAGTTTTTGGCCTTGCGAAAATAGCACTTGATCTATAGCACAAGAGCCAAATTTCGTGAGAATAGCACAAGATCACCTAATAGCACTTGAGTACTTGCCATCAATCTGTTCATTTATAGACAACAGCTGGCCGGCAGATGTGCGAGCCGAGCGATTCGAAGGAGAAGCGCGTTTTTGGAGTTGATTCGGATGAAATGAAGTGTGATGATCA